TCAAGTTAATTGCTCTTTATTCTTTTCCTCTATTTATTTCTCATTTAGAAAAGAAACTATCATTCCACAATGTGAAAATTTGCTTTGAACCGATCTTTGCAGATGTCTCTCAAAGTTCTACAAATACAAAGTTTTGCTTTGCTCGCCATTGATAATAGTCATCAAAATCTTCAAAATGATTTCTAAATTTTGTTTCCTCCTGGTCTAGTTTCTCAGTCGAACTATCAATTTCAGCTAATCCTATATCTGTTTGAACGTCATTTGCTGGAATATGATGCTTTGTTTTCCTTTGGAAGGAAGTAAGAGCTCCTTTCCTACAAAATACCATGAACGTATATGACCTTATGTTCCTAACTTACAAAAAGAATCTGAGTATAACAAGGGCAGTTGACCTAAAACTGTTTGATATTTTCTACTAAACAAAAGTAATAGATTTATTTAATGAAGATAGATCCTACATTAAGAAAAAAATGTTTTCTCCGGAAATTTGAATTTTCTTTTAATAATTACAAAGTTTGCAAGCACAATTAATGAAAAAATTCAATTTTTAGCAAAATTCTTTGGGCATTATAGACAAACCATTGTTTGATTAATCCAAAAAAGAAGGAATTATGCTTTCTATGTCAAATTTATAATTATCTATTGTAGCAGAGATTTATTCTAATTTGAGAAGAAAAGATAATATTTTTTCAAAATGTTTTTGTATAATTTCAAAGATTAAGATTAATTCGGAAAAAAATGTTTGTTTGACATGTTTGTCAATAGAAGCATACATGTAGATTTCTTAACAACACTTCTACTTTACCTAATGAGTATAAGAAAGATACCGATGAATATTACAAGTGCGATGTTCAGAGCAAAGGATATTGAAAATTCCAATGTCCACTTTCCTTTCGAATTTTTATCTACAACATTAATTAAAAATGAGAAGTTTAAAGGGCTTGTCATATCAAAATTCAAATATTTAATTTTTTTTTAAAAATAATTTTCCCCCTTGAAATTCCATCTAAATGTAAATCAATGAATTCTGATAATGTCTGAGGTTTTATTTTACTGATCTTTTCAACACATTAGACAGTCCTATGGCTATAAAGACACAATATTACCACAGAAACTTACATTTGTAATCACAAAGCAGTCCTTTATAATGATCCTGACATCCCTGGGGACAGATACCATCAAACCTTCTGCAGTTCTCACCGTTAAGACAGTGGCCACTACATCTATGCTGACAATTTACTCCAAAGAATCCATTCAAACATTCTACAATCATTAATCAAACTAATCAAACTAATTCTAAGTATCACACAAGTAAACATCATTTACATGTCATTTTGTATGTCAATTTTTCAGCATGTCATTTTCATTTCCTTGGAAATAAAATGAAAGAGGCGATGATTGAAAAATGAGCCATTTTCAAAAAAAAAATAATAATAAAATAAAATAAAATGAAAACTTCGGTAAATTATTTCATTAATAGTTAAAATATCTTTTTTATATCAATTATCTCTTATTTGAAATTACGATTAATACTGTTTCATACTTTACATTCTTAAAGATATACACGCTATATAAACGCGATTTTTTATGTGAAACAAAATGATTAAATGATTTGAAAAACATGATGTGTAATAAAAAATAATTACTTTCCATAAAGTTTTACTAAATAAGTCGTTGTAATTACAAAACAATTAAGCAAGATCTGCAATTAAGAATTCAGCCTATTCATGAATATTGATGAAGGAAGTGCGTAAACAGTATATAGACACGCATGTCCGCGGGAAATCATAGACAACGAGGTACGTTGCATTTTGACTACGATTTTGAATAAAAGTTAATATCTGTCATTACAGAGTAGATGGTTAATATCGGTTGTTTTCAAAGATAAGTATCTTTAAACAAAAACTTACGCCATCCATGTCAAAAGTTATTTTGTATACCAAACGGCCTACATCGTTTTCTTGACTCCATTTTTGTTTATCAATCTAAAAGTAGCGACGGTGTCACATGATGCATGAATTTAACTAGAGGCATTACTGTCCTAGTAGGATAATAAATAATTATAATTTGAGATCTTTATAATGAGTTCATTTCCACTTGTGTAATTTACAATATTTTTGTAACTTTATTTGGTAAACAAAATGAATAAATTTCCAACTTTATTTTTAACTGACGCAAGTTATAGCGTGTATATCTTTAAAATCACTCAACATATACACAATTAATTAAGTTTTTTTTCACAAAGGTGAAGCAGATTGATAAACCAACCTGTTGTACATTTTGGTGAATCTTTGAACCCTGGTAAACAGTCACAATGACCGTCAATATGATTACATATACCTTGTCAGTTTTCTGAGCAGTTTTTTCCACAGCTAGAACCAAAAGTACCGTTTGGACAAGCTGCAAATGTAAAGTTGAAGCAAATGTACAGCTGAAACATATATGACATCAAGTAAATCTCATCCATTTGATGTTAAATCAAGTGAACCCAAGGAGCAATAAACTGAATGTTAACGAGACAAACTAATATTCCAGTGTTCTAAATAAGTAACTACTCTTTCACTATATTTTATGTTGAATTCAACTTTATACAATAATGGCAAACATCTATGAAAAGTACAACACCTGAGACTTTCAAATGAACATAAATTTCAATTAAAAAGTAATCTGCAATTAATAATTGGGGAAAATGCGTTTTCTATGGCATTTGAAATATTCTAAACTTACTTAATTAGTTAATTTGCAAAACGTAAAAAAAAATAATAAAATCTGATATCTTTTAATCTGAAGTCCTTTATCTTAATATATCATTATATAAAATTCAAGAAAATTATCTCAGATTATCCAAGGTCATTAACCAGAATTTGGTAGTAAAATTACGGATCGTAAAATAAGCTAGAGAATGTTCAAAATTTTGCTTACCGAATCCAAACAAGCTAGAAATTCCTGTTATTAATACTAATATTTGAAAAGTAATAAACATTCTCAAATATTTTCAGTAAATTACCAGGAAATATTTAGTTTTTATCAAAAGTTAATAAGCTAGGTAGGGCGTTGTTTCAGTATTTAAGAAGGATAGATATTTATGATGTTGATCATTTTCATTGTTCAACTTCCTTATTATGGTTGCAAACATAAGAGGAAAATGTCTTTTCTTATGTTTTCGTCCAGTCCTTTTGTCTAATTTTCCTTGTGTGAAATTGGCAGCTAATTTTCTCTTTGGAAATCGTTTTTGTGGTCCTATTTAACAAACTTTGTAATTATTTTACCTTAAATGAATTTAAGACTCCTTATTTACAATTCTATACATCCGTGGCCCTGATTCCATCTTTGATGTCTTTAGAGGTCCGGGTGCTCTGATCCAAATTTGCATCGTTCCAATCGAAATTTGAGCTTTATTACTGTTCTTTTTCATCATATTTAGTTAAAAGACACAATGCGGTAGAATTTCATTTTTACTCCTTGTGACTAACTTCTCTAGCATTTTTGGAACCTTTTTCTTTGAAGAAAAAAGAATACCGTGCTTATCGTCAAAGTAACACAGAAATATTATTCTAGCTCTGATCAAAACATTGAACAGTAAAAGTCGATTTATTGATAAACCTTTTGTGTCAATTTTATGTAGATAAATTATGTGCTTGACTATATTGACCTATGGCAGAAAAGTCTAACCTTTGCGATTTTTAAATCCTGAAATAGGAAATGTAATTGTTGTTTTCCAATGTTCTAAAGAAGTTCCTTTATTTCATTTTCCCCTACTGTCCTTTCTATTTCTATACTCAGAAATGCAAATGAAAAAAGAGTATATCAAATTCTTTGATAAAATCAATTTACAGATTAACAACAACAAACAAACATAAAATGAAATGATAAAGAAATGTGATTATAACAAATTTGTATGAAAGTCTTCAGTCAATATTTGACTTTAGGACAGTTTGTATTTCAGAGGTCATTACATCGACCATAGAGATTTTAAACGAGAATATCCTTGTATCAACAACTAATTTGTCAGTAGTCTGCGTCTAAATCGTTTTTGTCCTTGCGTAGGAAGCACCTGTGAGACATAAACTACATATGCATATCTACGCAAATGAGGGAAATTAGCGAAGGTCTCCATGTTTATCATAAAGATTTGTTGTCAGTTTGCCTTGTCCAGTAAAGCTCTTAAATATGAAAATATCATCCAAATAATACAACAGACTTCAAGGCGATTATATCAGGTACTTAAACAATGTCGTTAAAGTGCAAGTTTATAAGATGAATATGGTGAATATTTTCCCTGTTGATACAGAACTTCCATTCGCCTTATGTAGAATTGTTTTTATTGTTCTTCTCTAATGTTTGAAATAAGGTTAAATTCGTCTGTCTTCCTCTCCATTTCTTCATACATATACACAAATGAAGGGACATGCAATTCGAAGCTATTTATTAAATAACATATATTTATGCGAACAAAGTTTAATGATGATATAAAAGCACGTGTAAAACAAATCACTGCACATAAAGACGGACTGTAACAATATAATTTAATAGTATTATAAAATTGTAAACAAAAGTATAATGTTGAACATTTTCTATATATTTATATATTATATAAATGCGAGATTTTCATAAGCAATTTTGTTTTCTACTTTTAATTTTTGGTATTCGACTTTATTTTCACAAGTATTCAAATCCTCGTACGATGGTTTTTCTGAATTAGTTTGTACATTTGCAGGTCCTATATTTGTTTTGTTGCCATTTCTTGGAATTTGGTGTATTTTCTCCCTTTGAAAAAAATTACTGAGTTTTTTTCTGAAAACAAAGACAAACAAATTCATAATGTAAATTACGTTTTCATATTAAGGATATATAGAGTAAAAAAAAAAATTAAAGTCGCATTGCAATTCAAAATACAAAAAACAACAATATAATCACACTTTTATATTACCTGTTGAGTGTAATAAAGGCAGCAAAAAATATTAACAATAAAATGTTAAGCGTCGCCGAAACTGAAAATCCTAGTTTCCATTGTCCTGTTGACGCTTCATCTACAACAGAAATAAAGCAAAAATAAATAAATTTGTAAAATCAAGTATTTGTTGTTTTTCTTACTCTGTCCATCTCCATACAAAAATCACTCTGACAATAAGTCCTAAGCTATAAACTTTAAAGCAGAGGCGGGTATATCCATTGATAATCACATCGATCTCAAGATACTGTCTGATATCATAAATATATTGATATCGGTGGAGCTTCCTTGTCAAATAAAAATATATAAAACAGACGTGATAAGTCAAGTATAATCTTCATGTATTCCTCCAGAAAGAATAGCACACTTATTAATTTTATGTAATCAGTTGAGATATTTTGGTGTACATTGTACATAAATTATATTTCAAATCTTTTTTAGACAAAACTAAGACATAATTATAACAAGGCCTGACACAGGTCCTCACCTTATCTTTATCAGCAGTGAACATGTATATAAGACCAATAAGTTACCAACTTTGAAAGGATCTTTTTTTTTTTTACATAGATTTCAGTATTTCAGGAGACAAAAATAACTCACCCAGCTATCATAAGTACCGCAATCAATTCTAACATCTCAAATTATACACACCCAGCTATCATAAGTACCGCAATCAATTCTAACATCTCAAATTATACACATTCAATAAAATCTCTCATTCTTCCTTTTTAGGGTCTGACGTGGTAATTTTGATACTATATGGTCAAACAATTTTTATCCTAGAAGCAAATATTTTTAATCAATATAATTTTGCGTATTTATAATATACATAACTCAGGCAAGGTTGCGCTTACCAACCTTCAATGCAGGTTCCCTGTACATGGTGACATGTATAACGGCATTTTGTTGGACAAAGGTTAGAACAGTTTTCACCATAATACCCTTCCTGACAGTCAATTCTAACATCTCAAATTATACACATTCAATAAAATCTCTCATTCTTCCTTTTTAGGGTCTGACGTGGTAATTTTGATACTATATGGTCAAACAATTTTTATCCTAGAAGCAAATATTTTTAATCAATATAATTTTGCGTATTTATAATATACATAACTCAGGCAAGGTTGCGCTTACCAACCTTCAATGCAGGTTCCCTGTACACGGTGACATGTATAACGGCATTTTGTTGGACAAAGGTTAGAACAGTTTTCACCATAATACCCTTCCTGACAGACTGAAAACAAGTCACACTTTGAGCACCAATATTAAAACTATATTTACATGTAATTATAAAATTCTTCCTCTGGCACTATTTCCTTAAAATAATGATCTTCGTAAAGAATGGCCCTCAATTGAATGTACATGAAAATCGCAATTTTAAAAATATTTTGATTCTTACAGTACAAACACCTCATTCCCGTATAACCTTTTGAGCATCCTTCTGTACAAGCTCCATCTACGTAACTGCATTTTCCATTGATACAGTTTTTACTACAATGATTACTGCAATTTTGACCAAAATATCCACTGGGACAAACTGTTGAAAGAGCCATAAATGTTGAATTAAAATACCTGCCATGGACATTTATATACTATCAAAATATGACAAACACAAAATAAAAGTATGCAACCTCTTTAACTGAATTAAGGTGACTGATATTTATGCAATATATCTCAATAACAGAGCCCAGCCCTTCAACCACCTTTCCAAATATCTTTCAGTGACCGTTCAGTTGGCTGAATGACGCATTACCATCCTGTGAAAACTTACCATCGTTGCAGAGATTTCCAGAATATCCGATTTTACAACCCAATTCACAAAATCCATTCTTCTTATTACAGAAGGCGTTATTAAGGCAGTGGTCACTGCAGTTATAAACACATTCAGGACCATAGGTTCCATCCTTACATTCTGTTATTTTAAAAATATTATTTTCTGTCATTCTTAGTCATGCATTTCTTTCCAAAAAAATGAAAAAAAAATTATGAAACTAGTTCTTTTCAGAATTCTTTCAAAAAGTTTTATAAGCAGTTCAGTTTGAAAATATACATGTAATAAACTTTTACTTACATGTTAGTTTAGTCATTTCGTCTATAGGTCGGTTGAATATTTTTAGTTATTTTAAGAGGAATTTTCTACTGATTCACTTATAGTTTGTGCAGGAATTGTTACAATTTCAGATAATTGTTTTTGTTTTATTTTTTCTATCTGTTTCATAATTTGTTGCAGGTATAGTATAGATACTTGTTCTTTAGGTAGCATTTAAAATCAAAATTAAGACGATTGAAATATGTAAAGTTTATTTCTCATAATGCTTATGGTACCTCATAACAATCTTTCGTGCATGTTCACAGTTTTTCAATGTAATCAGTTAAATTGAATGAATACCACTTTTACTCTTCCAGAAAATGCCGATATTTGTAGGACTTGATTATAAGTCGGGACTAAAATGTACCTTGAAAAATCGGGCTTATATACAGTATTTTTATGTTGGAATTTAGTGGTACACCAACATGTTTATTTATTTCATGTGAATTATAAGCAATAAACGGGTGTTAAATGCAGATATGTCCGTTAAAATAGAATTAAAATTAGAAATAGAATATGAGGTAAGTGATAAACATTTCTTTACAAATATTCTTTCTAATTTACCTTAAAATTTTTAACATAATCATATTCTTTTTAATTAACCATAGACTTTCATACAATAAAATTTGGAATTTCGAAGGTTTTTTAATTGTATTGACAATGATATTTACTCTCCAGAAAAAGGTCTACTTATAAACGATAAATATTTGTTAGGCTATTTCGTTTATAATTACGTTGATTACACTGTTTCCCAATCCAGCCAGCGGCACATCCTCTATCACAATTACCAGTCACGTGGTTACATGAAATGTTTTTTTTTTACAATGTCCTCCACATTTCTTTTTGCATTCCATACCATAAAACCCCCATGCGCATTCTGAATTTAGAAATATAAAAAAAAATAAGACATCAATGTTCTAATGCAATGTTAAATTTATTAATTTTACAGCTTTCATACCGTCTTCGCACATCTCCCCTACATATCCAGGCAAACACCCAAGGCATGCTCCGTTGACTATGTTACATATCTGATCTTGACAGTTGATTGGACAATATATGCTACAGTTACTTCCATAAAACCCTTCTTCTGCACAACCTGATTTAAAGAAAATTTACAAACGAACGGTATTTTGGTATTTTGTTGTTATGAGCAATGTTTACAATATTGGCCAAAACGATCATCAGAGTTGCATTCACCTTTGTTTATTGATAATTTCCATTTGATAGTAGCACAAATCAACCCACGGGAACCATGATTTGAACAGATTTTAATTTCCTATTCTTCCTTGCACAAGATAGAAAGTTAAGGGTTCTAAATGTTTATACTAGACCTACTTGTGCATCTATATAAGGCAGAACTTTACACAAAAACTTAAACACAAGAAGAAAAAAAATCTTGCAATGGCCTAAAACTACACATTTTGATATTTAGACGTATTATCAATTAACAAAAGGTACTTCCATGCATATGTTAGTCAATATATTCCAGGGAACTTGAAATTCCATCGAGTGTGACACACCTTAAACCTGTTTCATATTTGGATATTTTACTTGAAAAAGATATCATCAAAAATCTTACAACGAAACTTTATGATAAATTTGATGACTTCATTTTTTTCTGTCGCCAATTTCCATTTCCTATGTGTCACAATTAACGTCCAAACATGGTTCCATATATTTTAACATACATTTCTCGCTATGTAAATAACTAACTTAAATGTCATAACTATGTTCCATAACATTTTATTTGTTCAGTAAATTGACTGATTGATTGTTTGTTGTTTAACGTCCCTCTCGAGAATTTTTCACTCATATGGAGACGCCACCACTTGGCGGTGGAGGGCTACACATTCTGACCTATACTCTGCACTTACGGCCATTGAGCAGTGAGGGATCTTTTTCGTGCCAGCACCTACTGCGACACGGGACCTCGGTTTATACGGTCTCATCCGAACGACCGGTCTCCACGTCCAACTGTGGGATTCGAACCCGAGACGTAAGGATCAACTCCTTACTCCGAGACTCTAGAGCAGACGCTCTAACCACTGCGCCATGCGGTCGACTTGTTCAGTTAGAATTTACTTGGCGGGTTTTAATCCCGTACCGTTTTGTAGTCAGTTTGGGTGTAGCAATCAAGTAGAGTATACGGACTTGACTTGCTCGAGTATTTACATAGTATTCTTCATAAAGATAAAGTATTGACCAGACTTTCACATCTCTTCTGAGGTAGGTTTGTTTTATCTATTTAAAGGTTTTTATCTGATACAGTTTCCTGAAATGGCCGAGGACCTTAGTTCTTAATTTTGATGTAAATTATGTGATTGAGTAATGTGTGCATTGCTATCATTTCAAGTATTATTCTAATAGTATACAAGTATATTAAAGTATGTAGTAGCTATATAATGTATGGTGTAAAGTACGTGTGTATAGTATGCAAATATTTCGTATAATTAGTGGAATATGCAGTAAAATGCTCGAGTATTTGCAGTAAAATGCAGTACGCAGTAAAATGCTTGAGTATTTGCAGTAAAATGCAGTATGCAGTAAAATGTAAAGTATACAGTAAACGTTATGATATGCACGAGCACGAATCCAGTTAGTATATTTTAAATACAATTGTTTTAATGTAATTTACAATAATTTTGTAGATCCCATTTGGTCCAGGAAGCCATTCTACCCAAACAACGTTCCATTTTGAAATTTTACATTTGTACAAAGCCAATAAAATGTGATTAATTCAAAGAGCATAGTCATGTTAGTCCTTGTATTCCTATTATGAGGCGACCACTCGGCCTGCCTGCGATACCTTGTAGCAATATACCCTTATCACATGTACATGGGGTAAATGTCTCACGGTTGGTTCGAGGCAAGCTATCAAAAAACAAGGTGATGAAACAAGGATTTCTTCAATCTCTTATAAAATCATCATTCCATCGATACCATAACCTTGTCAGCAAACACAATATATACTTAAGTCGATTGCTGACTGAAGTTTCTCATACTTATTGATAGGTCATTATTTACATACTGAATTTTCTGATGATGACAAGGAGCACACGACGGTTATAACCGGTCGACAGGGAAGGAGTAAGCATGATCACCTGATCTCTACCTTTTTTCTGTGGAATCATCATTGTTCGTTGGGAACCACTGATAATGTATTTCGTGAGTTCTACATACCTATGAATTCATATACCTCTGAAAGTTTGTTTGTTTGTTTGTTTTTGTTAGCAGATTGATTCATTGAATCAATTGTATAAGCGAGAAACTAACGACATCATCGTCCTATGAACTAATTAATTTTGCTTGCCCATGAACACCCAATCCCTCAAATTAACTTTAGTCTATATATAGACATTTTGTATTCTTTGTCAGAATTCATGATATAACTATTTAAAATTGAGACACAATAACCTAAGAAATATTCTGTAGACTATCAATAAATACACCCTGAAAAAAAAGTTACAAAATGTAGAACACGGGAAATTTGTTACATGCAGATATCTTAAACAGGCCATTGCAGAGATATAAAATCAAAGTTTTTTTCAGACTTATACTTTGGGACACTAACCCTTTTCTAATTAAAAAAATGCGAAAGAATTTTAAATAAGAATTTCTGATGCCGAAAAAACCTTAACCTTAAAAAAACTGCGGAAGAATTTTTAAAAAAGAATTTCTAATGAGCAAAAACCCCTTAATTCCTTTTAACAAACAAGTGTAAGTAGATTAAAATTTAAATTGTACTTAAAAACGTACGTGTGAACAGGGCAGAAAAAGGTTATTAAGAGAACGAACAGTGATAAAAAATAGAAAAGATCTAAAAATTACAAATCTATTAACAAGGTTCATAAACCACTTAGGCTCAGGTGGCTAGTCGGACTTGTGTATTAATCAGGTTGGTGGAACATTTTATAGCTAAATTTAGCAAATAAACAAAGTCATTACAGTTGATATGAAACATGTCAGCCATAATATGTTCAATCGGATATTACGTCTGAAAAACGAAAATCTTTTTTTAAAAAAAAAAAAAAAAAAAAAAAAAAAAAAAAAAAAAAAAAAAACCATCGTAAATATTCTGCAGTATATTTCATTTAATTTTTCGACAATGATTGTGAAATAATAAAATAATAAAAATTGCAATGAAAGATGCATAAAAAGCTCGTATCAAATCGGGTATAACTTTTATATGTTATATGATTACATACAAATCGTCTCTATGATAGTAACGAGAGAACGAAAGTTAAATTATTTTAAAGTTAAAATTTTACAGGTAAGAATAAGATATTTTATGAAAAAAGCTGAAGACGTTTGAATCATTACATTCCTAATTAAAAACAACTTAAAAAAGAACAAAAAAAAAAAACACCTTGTACTGTCACTTCACACAGCTCAGTGTAGAGATTCAGAGTTTGGTATCCTTCAGGGTAAGTAACTCCATCCAGTCTTTCGTTGTAATAGATGACGTAACGACCATATCCAATACATGTTGTATTAAACTCCAAGGGAGGTAATGGAAGCATGTTTTTGTAACAAAGAACATCACCCTTTATATTAGGTGTGTACGAAAGGTAAAGAGAAAATCCACCAAAACGGCCTCTTTGTCTCATCTCTGAAATATAAAGCAAAGTCCTCCCGGAACAACATTATGCTGTCATCTTTAATATGTGTCTTTGATATTACATGTACATAAAAAATGAAATGTTGTTGACATGTTGGTCTCTATTTCTGCGATTTTTTTTTTCTGTGAACATTTTTTCCCGCTTGAAAACACTTCAAAATTTATCAAATCTGAAAACCCCACCCTTTAACTTTTTTATAGTGAAGGAGATCAAACAATAATAATTTTCATAACTGAAAGTGCAAGGCATTAGGAGAATAAAGCGATTATGAATTACTCCCTTAAGAAATGATAAAGACGCATATTAAACTCTTTTCTTGAAAACGAAAGAAAGAGAGGAGTGTCTATCTAAACCAATAGTATTCCTAATTTAAGTATTTCTAGTTTTGTAGGCAATAGCAAAACATACCGTAATCTCCATACTCCTTATAGTCTTTAAAATCTATGCTAATGCTGTAAATGCTGTAATTGGCTCCGAGATCTACGGTCCACCAAACAGTTTTGTATGGAGAGGATTGACCTATTTCTTTTGTCTTCATACATGTGTTTCTATCGCCATCTACAGCCTTATCTGGATCACAGGAAGTAGAAGAAATACATGATCGGACTGTTGACTGTGTGGCGTTTTTACCTCTTGATAACACTTCTATGAGGAATGAAATCATAGAAACAGATTTGAATTTCGATTATCGTAATTATTTTTTTGATAATTCAAAAGAAAGGATAATTAATATCTGTTATCTTATAAAAAGCAATCGTGTACATGTAAAGCAATTGTTGAAAATACAGTTTTTGATCATTAAAAGTATTAAGGAAAAAAATAATATCCAGTTTGAAAAATGTTCAAAATCTACAGTTGTAGGCTTTATAAAAGTAATTCTGAATTAATATAGGCACAAATATATTAACAAGCTCATTGGTATCTCTACAGTTGCCTTTCGTAGTATAATATTTTAGGAGTTATTGTAACAATAACAATAACACAGCTAATTGTGCCACGTACATGTAACGTATGGTAGCACATACCATATGTTACACGTATGTGAAACATACGTAACACATATGTGTATTCCAACCGCACGTTTCACGTACTTGGTACAACGTATGGATAACATGCATGTGACAACATACGTTTCACATAACGTACGTGAAACATGCGGTTGGAATACACGAATGTGTTACGTACGTTAATGAATGCGTGGTTTACATATGTATTGTCAACCATACGTTACACATACGCTAATAAACGCATTGTTTATATGTGTATTATAAACCATACATTACACATACATGTATTTCACACACATGGTTTACATTTATTATCAACCTCACGTTACACATACGTTAATATATGTATACTTTACATGTATTATAAACCACACATTACATGAACGTTAATGACATGTATGAGTATTATTAGTTACGTTACATGTATGTTAATAAAAATTGTTTTACATGTGTGTGAAAAGCTAGCTGTGTTTGAGAAGGCTGTATATTTTCTATATTAATGGTACTTTTACATACATGTAAAATAAATTTAGGTCAACTATAATTAAATTCAATCCTTTTTATTTTTTTTAATTTCAATTTCGTTTAATTAATTAGTAAAATTAGTATTGAATTTTAGTCAATAAGTGAAAAAAATCCCTAAAAGTTTTATTGTTGCTGGGACTATAATATTCTTAAATTGGTGACATTTTCAAATACACAGGAACTTTTTGTACAAAAGTACTCAGACCAAATACTTTTTTTACTGAATAGTTCTACTAATAGTTCTTTAGTTTTACTTAAAGTGAATTTGGAGAACTAATCAAGATAATGTTTAACAATCAATAACCTGTAAATGTGTAATTCATGAAACAGAGTATTGAGACCAACTTGGTCTAAGTATAAAATCCCTCTTAAAACGGGACTCTAGATCATAAGTTGTCTGGATTTTAATGATTATACTGTAATATGTTTTAAAGATTCAACTTTTTTTTCCCAAAAAATAATATCATATCATGATCTATGATTAAAACCCAATCACCTCTGAAAGCTCACAGGTGTGTGCGTTGTTGACTGTTGTGGGTGTTTTGCGTATTTAATGTTCCAATTTATTTCACATTGTTTACCTTACGTCCACTTGCATGTCTGTCATGGAGTAATCAGTTCGCACTGGTGTATAGTTTACTCTTAGAGCAGTAAAACATAGTCTACATACAACTACAAGTACACCAATCTCGTAATGTGTATATCGGATATCGGTGGAGGCACATAAAATTGAACTCGATCATCGGTAGATATAATCATTCCGAATTCAGGAGCAAAAGCTGAATTAAAAAAAAAGGAAAAAAATCTCGATAATTTCACCACAAACTCAAATGGAATTCACATAAATAGATATTAGATAATTATACAGTAAGTAGCGTCCGTATAACACTAAAATATGTAAAATATACGTTCCGGAATTTTCACCTCCAATTATTTTTTACGTTACGGGTTACGTCACTGGTAAGAAGTCTGACGTCTGCAAGACAGTGTCTGGAGTTAGGTAAGGATAACGGTGAGGAATATATAACAACTACACTTATTTAATTACTTTATATTTCAGACTGTGTTGCATGTAAACTAACAGGCGTTTTTCTTTTATTTTAGTGTATAACGTAATGTAAACTAAGTAAGAAAATATTGACGCAGTCAGCTGTCTTGGTCAGCACCCCAGCCCAGGTGTGAATCAACACTGGCACACTTTATCAAAATTCAGGTGAGGTTTAAAACATTCTGTTAGGCCTATAAAAAATATTTATTGTAACTGATTTTTTTAGCCTACCAATAAGATGCAAATAACACCCTTGATGGAAAAAGTTCCACCCACCCAAATGTATTTCTTTACAAAACATGTAGAGGAAATATAAATTATCTTTTAGGGCAATTAGGGTGTAACACTTATGTAATAGTGTTGTATTTGTTTAAAATAAAGTAACAGAACTTGCCAGAATATATTTTTTAACTTTTATTTAAATTTGTTATTCAAAACCTAGATCCACCCCTTAGTTCTCCCTTACCTGTACATACTTATATATTACCTAAGGGCATTGGTCAGGTGTTTTGGAAGTGGTTATTGTTATTTTGGTTTTTATTGGTTATTGATTTGAAAGGTCCGATTCTATTGGTTTTACTGACTGGGTTGGAGTTTTCCCGCTTTATTATGAGCATTCTTTGTTCAGAGGTTGATTTGACCAGACTATATATATATATTCATAAAAGACATTCTTGACTTTGGACAGATTTCCATTTCTGGTAAGTTACTAATATTATTTCATATTTTAAATGTTCATCCTATAGTATGCAAAAGTCATTTCCATTTGCACTTACTAAAGTGAATGAATGAATTTGAGAGAAAGTTATTTTATGATGTATATTTATTATTGATTACAAGATCAATATTAAGTATTTAACAGAAGTAATTTGATGTTTATCAGATTATATGTTTTTTATTATAATCAAAGATATATTTGATGATAAAGTTCAAAGTGAGCAATTGATATATTTTTAAAGGGATAATATTTTTAAATAAATTGTATTAAATTACAGATCACCATTCATGTAGATACTTGTAAAACAATTTGTGGGAAAGCCTATTCCCATAGAATGGTGAGATTTAGATTTATATGTTTTTAATCTGGAATATATTTTTTATGACTATTATGGGAGTAATATGTAAAGATTTATATATTCAAGAGTTATCTCCCTTTGATGACAGTGTAACTATTATAAATGATGATAATCTAATTATTATCTTCATGTACATGTAAAATAATGAACATTGTGTGTGATAATTATTTACATTATATTTATTGTTGTTTTATGATATTTACAGGGCTAATACAACACAATATATATATAATCACTCCACTGTGCAATAAATCTTATGAACCCTGACAGGAGTGTTGTGTTTACTTCCATATTGATACCCCTGTTACACTTATTTTTCAGATGTCTTTTTCATACAGTCCTTATGAATAAAAATAATGTATTTTAATGAGATTGTGAATTTTTTTTTTATGTGATTTTAAATGTACACTCCAGGATGGTGGCTGAAGCTCTGACATCTCCTATGTAAACACCTAAATGCCAAGTCTGGACTTCAAAAACAGATTCTGAAAGTTTAACCAGCATTATGGTAATACTCTTATTGTAATTACATATATCATTTAATGATGTGCATTACATTTCAATCACAAGAGGAGAAAATGTTAAATGTTATCAGTAAAATAAGTAATTTTTCATCTTGTTTGTTTTGCTTTACAAGTCTGAAATGCATTTTTTTTACCTCAAGGACAAAAAGTATACACTTCGAACAGACACAAAAACATATAGGTCCATGCCAAGCTATGAAAGATTTACGCTGAGGGTAAGTTCTATTATTAGATCTACATGTATTATATAGAATTTAATTGTCAGACATATGGTTATGTCTAAAATTTTACTGTTGTATTTATATCTGTGATAAGCAATATTTGCACCTGAGCTGACTTACATGTTATCACAAAAAAATGTTTTAACTAATTAGGTAGCCTGAGTCAGTCATGACCTATTGCTATCTGTTTTTAGCTCACCTGAGCTGAAAGCTCAAGCAAGCTTTTCTGATCACATTTTGTTTATACTCTGTCTGTCTAGCTGTCCGTAAACTTTTCACATTTTCGATTTCTTCTCCAGAACCACCGGCCCTATAACGGTGAGGAATACATAACATCAACAGTTATTTAATTACTTTATATTTCAGATTGTGTTGCATGTAAACTAACGGGTGTGTTTCTTTTATTTCAGTGTATAGCAATGTAGACTTAGTTTACCAAATAATTAAGAAAATGTTGACAAAGCACCACAGCCCAGGAGTGAATCAACACTGGCACTTTATATCAAAATGCAGGTGAGGTTTAAAACATACTGTTATAACAGGTATTCATCGTAAATATATTTTTTAGCCTACCAATAAGATGCAAATAAAACCCTCGATGGAAAAGTTTCACCCACCCCATGTATTTCTTCATAGAGCATGTAGAGGAAATTAATATCTTTTAGGGCAATATTAGGGTGTAACATTTATTTTTCAGATGTCTTTGCCTTTTTCATCCTTATGAATATTAATAATATATTTTGAGATTGTGATTTTTTATGTGATTTTAAATGTACACTCCAGGATGGTAGCTGAAGCTCATATGTATCTCCTATGTAAACACCTAAATGCCATGACTGGACTTCAAAACAGATTCTGATAGTTTTACTAGCATTATGGTAATACTCTTAAAAAAGAAATCATGGCAGATTTTCTGATCCCATTGCTTCTAGACTTGCAATTACATATCATATAATCATGGTAATGATGTGCATTATACATTTCAATCAAGAGAAGAAAATGTTAAATGTTATCAGTAAAATAAGTAATTTTTCATCTTGTTTGTTTTGCTTTACAAGTCTGAAATGCAGTTTTTTTTAACATATATTTTTTTTTAACTCAAGGACAAGAAGTACATGTATATACTTCGAACAGACACAAAAACAAATAGGTCCATGCCAAACTTTGAAAGATTTATGCTGAGGGTAAGTTTTATTATTATATAGAATTGTCAGACACATGGTTATGTCTAAAATTTAACTGTTGTCATTTATATCAGTGATAAGCAATATTTTGTATTAGCTCACCTGAGCTGACATAATCACAAAAAATGTTTTTTAAAACTAATTTAAAAGTAACCTGAGTCAGTCATGACTTATTGCTATCTGTTTTTGTCCATCATTATTCACTGTGCATTGTCTTGTAAAATTTGAACATTTTCAGTTTCTCTAAAACTGTTGAACTCATATTGACCAATTTTGGCATAAATAAATGCAGCATATGTGGGTGAATGGGAACAAAAATAGCAAATTTCATGGTCCCTGCTTCCTCTGGGGCCTTGGGGATGGAGCTATATAAAACCATCAAAATTAATGCACTAATCTTTAAATCTGGACATCAAGCAAACTGTTAGCATGGTTGTAATGAGCATTGAGTCTTCTACTAAAATTATGGAATTTATGGCCCAGGGTAAGTGATTCAGGGCTTTATTGATCATATAGTGAAAATGCAATGATTCATTGAAAATCCAAATAATACTCCTAGCCAGGAGTTTAAAGCAAACAAACTAAGTTCATGACTATGATGAACAAGTTTTGTTTTCTGAGTTCACTCACAATGCTTCTATTTTGAATTTGTCATGTAGAGAATTATAAGGTAGATACTTGAGGATAGTGAAAAGTCTAGTTTAAAAGATCAATGTTATTAATACTAAAAAAACTGTAGTTATTCGACACTATTAGTATCCCCCTGCAAACAAAGTTTGCGGGAATATGTAGGAATCACCTTGTTCATATGTCTGTTTGTCCGTCTGTGCAAACATGTCTGGTCCATATATTTCTTACGGAGGAACATTAGAATATACTACTTCACACAAAGATTATTCATGACCTGAGGGTGTGTCATGACCCTGACCCATGGCCAAGGTCATTGGGGCAAGTTCAAGGTCACTGGAAAAAAAGTTCATAATTTGTGTCCAGTCCATATATTTCTTACGGATAAACTTGGCAAGCTCCCATTTTGCACAAATATTGCTTATGGCCTGAGGGTGTGTCATCACCTTGACCCAAGGTCATTTGGGCAAGTTCAAGGTCACTGACAGAAAAAATTCATAATTTGTGTCTGGTCCATATCTTTCTTATGGATAAACTTGGTGAGTTACCATTTTACACAAAGATTGTTTATGACCTGATGGTGTGTCATGACCTTGACTCAAGGTCATTTGGACAAGTTCAAGGTCACTGACAGAAAAAATTCATAATTCGTGTTCGGTCTGTATCTTTCCTATGGAGAATAATTTTGGATGTTGGGAGTATCCACTTCACACAAAGATTGTTTATGACCTGAGGGTACATGTGTCATGATCCTGACCTATATAGTCACTGTAGAAAAAATGGATAAATAATGCATCCATACTTTCCAACAGAGAAATACTTGAAAACTCTTAATGTTTAAGCAAATTGTGAATACCTCTTAGATCCTCAAATACTAGCATTAATGACTTGGCATCTTCTCAGAAAAACTCAGTTGGGGGGGGGGGGGGTATTTGTCCATTTTGGACAGTTCTTCTTCTGAAGGGAATCAATCAAGAGTTATATGTGGAAAATAATAATGTTCAGAAAAAAACTGTGTTTTTCCATATGCAAATTCATTTAATATTTTCTTTTTCTTTACATGTGATACGTACGTGGCACATTTTGCTGTGTATGTGAGTAGGATGTACAGAGTCAAACGCGGATTGGAGAACTTACAAAAAGAAAACCGAAAATGGTAACATATGACTAGTAGTCTCTTAAATTAAGGAATCTTATTATATACCCAAGTGTTTGTCACTCTGTTTTACTGTTGAATTTATGCAATCACGTGAGGGTTTGATCCGACGTTCCGGATCACCACACTGTGGTTTTCTGAATCCATATCACCCCTCTCTGAAATTGATGACGTAGTACACAGATAAATGATGTTTTTATTCTCGCGCATCAAAAAGTTCATTGACAAAATTGTTTATTTAATGGATAAAATTTATGTTATTGACCCAAGAAGTTTTCTTTTATTATATTTCGTTAGTTGTAAAGGGGTACATAATAAATTTATCATTATAACAGTAACTTGATCCGCGTCACGTTTGATCTGATGATCCGCGCCTGTCGACTTGATTTCTGATTTCTGCTAAGATAATAAAAAGATATTCGAAATTAAGATATAATAAATAATAAAGCATTTTTTTTTTTTTTTACATTTTCTTCTTTGGCTCAAAGCTTAAAAATCCCAGTGCTTTTTTTCCTTGTCCTGGTTTTGTTCTCCAATTCTGATTAGTTTTGTTTTTATGTAAATTAAAAAAAAAAAACAACAGTAACACAGGGGCGTTACTTCATCCCCTCAAACTTCAGTGACAAGGGAAGAAAATAAAAATGTAAAATACTTTACGTACCAAATCCAAATATATGAGTTATTCCTGTAAAAAGTAGAACTATCATATATCTCATGACTATTTTATCAGTAGTTCTCATTAAACTAGCAGGAAGATTTAATAATATAATGAAAATAAATATGTTAGGTCGTTACCGCAATTTTACAGCTGGAAAGGTTTAATTTCTTCCTTGTTTAGTGTATTCAGTAAAGAAATTAAAGTTTCCTCTATCAAGTCTTTCATTTAGTGTAAGTGCTTTTTTCTATTTTCACTTAACTTTTTGTATGCTTTTTAAATATTATATCCAATATGTCAGATGCATTTTTGGATAATAACTAATTTATATAATTTATATGATGGATTTTCTACTAACCCCCCACCCCCACCCCCCCACCCCCCCCCCCCCCACCCAAAAAAAAAGATGCAAATATGGTGCGTTTTGAAAAATCTTGATCAATCTAATTCTTTTAAGTAATAATTTCCTCTGTTAATAGACAGAGCGTTTTCATTTCACAATTCTTGATGACATACTCACAGGTAAGGTTAAAAATATATCATTTAAGATAAAGATTTCGTGATGGGCAAATTTTCCATGCATAAAACTAAAAGCATCATTTTCAGATTCGATAATTTGAAAATGTCGAGCTTGGGAAAGCTGTAAATGATTAAAACACATGCTTCTTTAATTGATGAAACAATATACATATTTATTTTTGGATTTTGCTTGTCATACTAAATTCAAAATTTTGCAAACAGGTATTTCATGACATTTAAAGAATATTTATTTTAACCCAATATCAACGGTTTACCAAAAAACATTTAATACAATGTAAAATTAATGAGTTTTTTTCTTCTTCATTTGAAATGAGATTTCATATTATGCTTCTTCTTCACTATCATAATCAGAAAGACACATGAAGGCAAAGTCTTTATTAAGTCAATAACCATACACGTATAATCTTAAAACCAAAACAAAATTATATGATAAATAAAAAGAATATTTTTTCACTCTATAAGATTTCAAAGTACATGTAGTTATTATGATGGAAGCTTCCTATACAGTTGCCAATGCAAAATTTTCATAAGTAATTTTGCTTTCGACTTGTAATTCCTGATATTTGGTATTGTTTTCAAAAGTATTTAATTCCTCATAAAATGGTTTATCTGGAGTTGCGTTCACATCTTTAGATCCTACATTTGTTTGATCGCTGTTTTCTGGAGAGTAATGAATTTTCTTCCTGAAAATACCAAATGCTCCTTTCCTGCAAAACATTTGATACACATAGCTGATAAACAAATATCTATTTCTTATTGTATGGAAATAAATGCAACCACTACTACTACATTGTTAAATGAATTTTTTTATCAGAATATTATTGTTTTGTTAATAAATATGATAATCTGACTGGAATACTAGTATTTAAATGAGCACGTTTTTTGGAGCACACGCCACGTAAAATTCAGTAAATTTTATTTCAATTGTAATACAGGGGCAAGTGACATACCTTGCATGATTTTACGTGATTATTATATAAAAGACGGAAAAGGAAACCAATGGTATCTAGTCGTGCGAGTCGTTCACTAAAAATATGTAATAAACCCACATTTTATCCAGTTATGAGATCTTTCCGAAGCTGGAAGAAGTAAGCTATAGAATACAAATTCAGTCTTCAAAAACCATCTTTGTCCTTTGATTTCTGTAATCATATTATTCCTTCTCGACTTACAGCATTGAGGCTATTTTTCCATACACAGTAAGGCCTGAGTCCAGAAAACTCATATTTGGAAAACAACATACCAAAACCAAGTTGGAGGGCGAAAAATGAATGATCATAATGCTCTATAAAAGCTCGAGCTCTGTTGATCTATCACGTCCCGCATCAAATTTTTGATGCAGTGTTCACCGTAAAGTAAACAACTTAAACTAAGTAAATTGAAGGCTACGTGAAACACGGCTTAAATGCTTCGTCAATGATCCTTATAATATTTGTGGTTAAAGAGTAATTATTGTTGAATGCTTCTGTCATTCCACTGAATGCATGATATTCTGTTGAAAATACGGAGTGTTTTTTAGATTAACCTCGTGCAAATTCTGGCTAACGTTGGTTCCCTTTTTCTTTTTTGTGAAAATCAAGCAAAGTAAGTATTTGGCTCATTTGAATGTAAAGTGAGGAAATCCTTACATTTGTGTATCGTTTTTAAAATGTACATGAATTCGCAAAATGATTATTATTGTAAATTCCTCTTTTATTTATTTGCAAGCACGTTATTTTAGCGTTATTACGCGAGACTGTCTGCTTGCAGAAATTTCATTCGTGCGCATATTTCCATTAGTCCTTTCACGATTGCATTGGCACTGCTCTTTTGCAAGACAATAATTTTTTGCAAAGTTTTTGCTACAGTCCCTGAAACGTTCTACTTTCCCATTTTTCCGTTCGCTCACCGTTCGTTCACCGTTCGTTCAGCGTGCGTTCACCGTTCGTTCACCGTGCGTTCACCGTTCGCTCTCCGTTCACAGTTTTGCGTTCACCGTTCACCGTGCGCTCGCGTTCACCGTTCACAAAGCGTTCAGCGTTCGCTCTTCGTTCCGTTCACTTTGCGTTCAACTTGCGTTCAGCGTTCACCTATCGTTCAGTTGTCATTGCCATTCGGAACTCCCAAGTGAAAGGACTTATCTCTTTGTAGGTAAGGAGTTACAGATTTTTTAATTTAATACTAACATATCGTGTTTGAAGAATCATTATTTCATGGGGGGAAA